ATACTGCTTTTTTTTAATTCACTAACGCTCTATAAATGACTATTTCAGCCGCAGTAAAGAATCAACGTTGGCGGATTTTGGTTCTTGACATCCTTTACGATCGGTTATGATGCCTAGAGTACGGAGACCTGTACGATATCGTCAACTTAGTGAGTTTGATAGGGGCCGTATAGTGGGACTTCGGGAAGCTGGACTTTCTTTTCGGGCAATTGAAGTTAGAGTGCAAAGAAGTGTAGACACTGTGGTTAGGTGTTGTCAGGCATGGCTTCGAGAAGGCCGTACGCAAAGAGCCAGGGGCACTGGACGCCGCCGTAGAACAACAGACCGTGAAGATCGCCGCCTAAGATTATTGGCCTTAAGGGACCGTTTCTCCACTACCAGGTCCATTGCAAATGAATGGTTTGCAGAACACAGAAGACCTATTGGCATGCGAAGTGTTTATCGACGAATGAGAAGTTTTGGCTTGTTTTCATACCGGCCACACTGGGTCCTCCCTTTAACTTGAGAACACCGGCGTAATCGCCTTGAGTGGTGCAGACAACGGTCACTCTGGGATCAGAAATGGAACAGTATTGTCTTTAGTGACGAGTCTCGATTTTGTTTAGGCATGCACGATGGTCGTGCCAGGGTTAGAAGGCGACGTGGTGAAAGGAGGAATCCACAGTTTTTTGTTGAAGGACATGTTCATCACACTGTTGGAGTTATGGTTTAGGGTGCTATAGCTTATGGTTCCAGGTCACCTTTAATCTTCATCAGAGGTAACATGAACGCGCAGCGTTATATCCACGAAGTTCTAGAACCCCATCTTTTACCCTATCTTGACACCCTGGCAGATCCAACTTTCCAACAAGATAATGCCCGACCACATGTTGCAAGAGTCACAATAGACTTCTTTCAACATAATGATGTCACATTGTTACCATGGCCACCAAGATCTCCCGACTTATCCCCAATTGAGCACGTGTGGGATATGATGGGTAGTAGATTGCTCAATTTGCAACGTCCTCCTCAGACTCTAGAAGCACTTCGAGAGGAGTTGGTGGTTGCCTGGAATGAGATGCCGCAGGAGGACATTGACCACCTGATCAGAAGCATGCCTAGGCGCGTTGGAGAATGCGTAGCACAACAGGGTGCATCCACACATTATTAAAGGGCAAAGGGCTTTAAAGCAGTGCAATCATTTTGAAATTTTTATCATTTCCTTATTATGCTTCATTAAGTACTTATACAAAATTTTATTAAAACCATTTAAACTGGGTGCTCGGATTTATATGTCACTTAGTATATATATATAATAGCAAAAATATTCATATTAATTACAAAACCTTGGAAATTATTTAACCTATGAATATAACATTTTGCGGAGAAGAAATGTCAGCTAGAAACGGATTTTGCAACGGGTCGCGTAAGAGGGTAAGAGCGAAAAGATATACACAATCGCCAAGTCTCGGGGAGTATTTCACCTACAAAAAAAATAGCTTGTGGATAGGACATTTCAGTTTACAAGGGATTTTGTGGCAGGGCCAGACTAAGAGATTGAAGGGCACTCGTAAGTTTGGTTGAAATTGCTTCGTAACTCTAATAACTAAAAATTGGCATCAATGAGATCCTGTTTACCGCAGACTCAAACTAAAAAGGCTTTGTGTAACCTTAACCTTGGCAGAGATGTAGCTTTTAGAATGTAGAATTTAGGTTAATTTAAAATGCATTCTTCAAAAAACTGTTAACATTATTAATTTTTTAGCTTTCCAGACGCTGATTTTATCCTCCTTGTCTCCATTAATAAAACGACCATACTTAATAAGCATGCCGGTTAGCTGTTAATTTACTATGCAATCTAATAGTGATACTAAATTGTTACATGTTAGCAACAATTTGATACGTAGGATGTCGCGGGTAACATCTATTGGCTTATAAATAAATATTGGGTATCCATCAAATTTTATTGACATTATTTCGAGGATTTCTCGACATCTGTTGAAGTTTTTTTGTTTTCCTTGAAAACGGAGTAAGATCCATGAGACACCAAAAGGCAAAAAAGCTTTATTGTTATCTGCTTGATATGTTTCTTCAATAAGGTAGTGATTTACATTTTTTCGTCAATGTTATCGTTGAGATTCTCCTCCAAAACGCCGTCTAGTTAGGAACTCATTACAACGACTAACACTTAAAAAATTTAACAAAATCGGCGTAATGACCTTTGAGAGAACATGAAAAAGATTTTTTCAAATTTAACACATTCTGTAAGAAAGCAGAGCAACTGAGAGTACCTAAGTTATTTTAAGGTATAGAAAAGGATACTGATAAACATTTCTGCATCAAAAAATAAGTGTGTATTGTTTTTTTTTCGTCAAGTACGATACAAAAAAATGGATCTGACCGATGTTTGCTCCTAAATTAAGCAGCCGGATTATTTCATACAAAAAACTCCTTTAGTACTGAACATAACATAACGAAGTATTAATTCAAAACATTTCAACTTCCACGTCTTCATCTTCACTGTCCTATTGAACTATTTGTGGCCCAACAGGTTGAAATGCAGTATCATAGTATCAATTTTGAGTACATATTTTTCAGCTACAAATAGATCATTTTTTAGCTTTTTTGGTTTAATGGGGTGAGTCTGTTACAGTAAGGTCTGAACATGTGGCGGACGGTTTTTTCAAACAAACTTACAGCCTATAATTGGACCCAGTTATGCAATATAGAACGAACCCACATTTTGGTCTAAAATGAGGTATTTAGATTTTCTAAATCATGAATCAGCTAGCCATGTTTCGCAACAAGAAACCAGCCTTTAAATAGCTGCTGGCACCATCTAAGGGTGAAAGAAATATATTGCAAATTTCAAAGCAAGGTCACTGCAATTTTCAACGAAGTTCCAAGTATACTTGAAACCTTATTGCAAGGTGTCAGTTATTTCGTTTTTGTTCTGGAAGAACCAACGGTACTTGGTTCTCTTTTGCATATTTGCGGATTTGTGTTGTATAGTTGAGCGTTACAAAGTGTATCCAGTTGCTACAGGTTATATTATTCTATTTGGGGATGTATTGCAATAGAACGATGTCAATAATGGAAAGGGTTAAAGCAGAAAAGGGTATCGGTTCGTCAGAAATCCCAGGCACTCCCAGTTGCAATAAATTTGATGATCAGTTGTATTATCGATTATATCATAACCTCAAATGATAAAATTTGATTTTGGAAGGCGGGTTTTATACATTGTTTGTTTCAACATTGACCAATCTGGACTAGGCTAACCATTATTGACATATTTCTTAGAGAGGTGTATTTGAAAAATGCAGATGGTTCCTTATTGCAAATTACATCTCTGTACAGGGTTTGCAGCTCACTTCAGAGACAGAAACAGGAATTTGTAATGAACGCTCGCAAAGTCATGTGTAAAAGAGATTCATGACGAACCAAAGAAATTTATTTCATTTAGCTAATATATTTTATCTAAATTTTCCACAGGGTACAAAAGAGTGTCATCGCAATACTTCCAAGGATAATGAAAATGCAAATTATGCAAAGTATGCTATTAGTGAATCCTTGACGCAGAGTACTGAAGTTACTGATATTCAAAATATTGAAGACTCCGACGATTCTATCAAAGACAAGGATTATGAACCGCGTTTTTTCGATGAATCCCCTGTTGACAGTAATCACAACAGAGAGGGCAAGGAACAACAATATTGCTGCAGCTCCAGAATATAGGGGACGTCCAAAAAAAGGAAGGAAGCTGAAGTACGAGGAACAAAACTGAGCAATGTAGAAAAAACTTAAAAATTGTAATAAACAGTATTATTCATCTAAAGGAAAACTAGTTCAACCAAAAGAATTCATATATCATAAATGTTCCTGTGCCATGAAATGTGACCTAAAAGTATCTGTTGACGAAAGAAAAAAATGGTTTGACAAATTATTGGAACTTGGGGGATTATAACGTTCAAACAACCTATTTAACAACATGCGTTAGGGAGGAGAAAGTAAAAAGAAAAAACACTGGTGCCATAAACTCGGAGAAAAGACAATTTTCTAGATCTTACTATGTTAACAAGAAACTCATTTGTAGAGATATGTTCGGTAAGACGCTCCAAATCTCAACTAAACATATTAACACATCACTGTGTAAGAGAAGATCGTTATCAACACTTGATCGCCGAGGTATTGCTAGTGGTCACAACAAAATCACTGATAAACGAAAAAATGCGGTTATCAGCCACATTAATAAGTTTCCCCGCTGTAAGTCTCACTACTGTAGGGCAAAAAGTGGCAAACAGGAATATCTGGCAGAAGGAACGACACTTACAGTAATGTATAAGCTTTACACAGATGAAAATGTGAATACCGTGAGTTTTTCCTCCTACAAGAAAATTCGTTTAAAGGAGTTCAACTTAAAATTGAAAAACCCAAGAAAGATACCTGTAATAAATGTGACGCATTTGACATAAAGCTCAAGAACTTACCAGCAGTAGAAGAGAAGGGTAAGATCAGCTTTGAACATTTGGCTGAAGCAGAACAAGCCAGAACTAAGATGAATAGTGATATCAAAGAATTAACACAGAATAAGGAAATAGAGACACTGACCTTTGATATGGCGAAAACACTTCCGTTACCACGTCTTAGTACAAACATTATATTTTATAAAAGACAGCTATGGCTCTATAACTGTTTGATATACGCAGCGAAGGAGGGAAAATCCACTTTCAACCTGTGGCTTGAAGGACAAGCCGGTGGCGGTGCCCAAGAGATGGGCTTTTGTTTGATGCGTTATATTGCAAATAACGTCTCAAAAAACCGTTAAAAACCTTATATTATGGAGCGGCCCATGTGGAGGTCAAAACAGAAATATTAAGATGGTACTTTTGTTAAAATGTGCTCTTCAGGAATCTCCACACCTAAAAAGTATACAGTTGCGATTTTTGACATCCCGACATAGTTTTCTGCCCAATGACAGTAATTTTGGGGATGTAGAATGTGTTCTTAAAAGGCACACTAATATGTTTTCTCCTGAAGACTACATTCGGGTTATGAAGTCCTGTAGAAAGATGCGTTCCATTGAGGTGGTGAGCATAGAAAAAAAAGACTTTGTTAGTACCAAGAAGCTTGACAAGGAAATAACTAATAGAAAAAAGAGCTGTGAAGAGGAAAAGATCAGCTGGTTGAAAATTAAAGAAATTAAGCTATTAAAAGAGAAGCCTTTTTTTATCAAAACAACCCACGACGCCACTGATAACTATAAAGAAATTGATATTAAAAAAGGAAAACAAACAATGCTATTCTCTCGGCATTTGCAACCTCTTTGGCCCAACGGAAAGCCTGTAGCAGAAGCTAAAGTTAAGGGTATCAAGAGCTACTTAAACCTCATTCCTCCGGCAGATCATCCTTTTTATGTAAACCTTACTGGTGACGATACAATCAAGGAATATACGGAAGGGTATAATGCAGAGCTGGATTTCCAAATACAAGGGGATTGACATTTTCAAAAAAGCCATTTTGCAAAAAGGAACCAAGTGTTTTTTTCATTCAATATTGAGAATTTTTTGTTTATTTTTTGACCATTACGTTATTATACTTGAAAGTGAATAAAGCCGTGAAAAAGTGTACAGTTTTCTTATTTTTGAACGATCATGATTTGAAATAACAAAATATTTTTTCTCCGTTTACTCAGAAAGATGTTTTTGCTGTTTGGTTCCCTATTGCATAACGAGGTCCAATTGAGTAAAACCCTGTATACGCCACTGATCCTACGGTCCAAATACTGAGAATCAAGGGTATTTGGTGCGCCAATGTCCTGGCAGCGGCAGCCCAGCGCACAAGTAAACAAAAAGGCGTGTTGCGGGGAGCGCGTGTTAACTGCTCAGATAAATTTTCAGCGTCGCTGGCAAGCAGCAAAAACCGGATTTTTTGTTATTTACGCGAGGAAATCCGCGAGTCTTTTGGGAATGGAAAATTTTTAAAGGGGAAATAAGTGGTACTTTGCTTTGCATCCTTCTTCTCAGAAGTAACGAGAATATGAGGGAAATAAATATTGAGAGGGAAGGCACCATAATCGAATTGCTGCCTGTTCATCAACGCGTTACAAAAAGTGGGATATAAATAGATTTATTTTGTATTTATCAGGAATTTATTCCCTCTTTATATCCGAGTCGACGAAAACGTTACGGATTTATTCTGGGCATGTGTTCAAATAAGGCAAAGGGCTGAAAAAAGAACTTGTGTATAAGACCTCGTATGCAATACAGAAGACTTTGGAGACCAGCTCGATGGTTTAAAATTTGTCATATTGTAAACTGATCAAAGATAAATCCTGTGGGCTCAAAAAATATGTGGTTGACCAGTAAGTAGCTATTTGCGCTTTCCACCAAGAAAATCTTTAAGTTTCGGCAGGCAGTATAACCATACAAGAGCACCATCGACAGTGTCAGTGAAACGTAACAACGGCGTCGAAGAGACTGGTCAAGGGGCTAAGGGTGTCTCAGGTTAAACTTACGTCACTTGACGGGATGCGCGGGCATGATGCGCAATCGAGTCTTACTTTACCTCACATTATATGGAGTATCTTTTTAACGCGTGATTGATCGAGATCTACAGTAATGGACAAAAGTATATAGACAAATTGATATTGTGCTGTATTTCTTTTTTAACCTGTTTTACTAATACACCGACCTGTATACATAATTCGTTACAGCATACTCACTTATACATAAATAAATTCATTAGACTCCCTCCAATAAAAATTTTAATTAATATTTAATTAATTGAAAAAAACTGGAACTCGGAAGGACAAAAATATATAGACAAGGCAAAACAATTATGGAAAAAAGAAGCAAAGTCCATTGAATTAAAGAAAACCAACCATGTTTGTGTTAATATTTTGTACCATAACCATTATTATCAATCACCGCCTGGCATCGTCTCGGTATAGATTGTAGAAGTTAATTAATATAAGATTCATCAATCTGTCTCCACTTTTGCTCTAAAGCGGCAAAAAGTTCATCCTTGTTTGAACAATTTTTATCTCGTATTTGTTCATCTAAGTATTACCATAGATTTTCAATGGGGTTTATATAAGGAGACTGTGGATGACAATTGAGAAGTGGTATTTTTTCATTCAGAAAGAATTTCTTTGCGAGATTTAAAGTGTGCTTCGGGTCATTATCTTGCTGGAAGATTGATCTTAGGGCATATTGTCTTCCATATAAGGTAAAATGACACGCTTTAGTATCTGTGTATACAAAACTTATCCATAATGCCATCTATTCTATGTAAAGTTCCCATCCCAAACCTCGAAAAGCACCTCCAAACCATAACAGACCCGCCTCAATGTTTGACAGTGTGCAAAGTGTACTTGGGGTTCAATCTTTGTCCACTAGGACGTCTAACGTAATAAGCACCATCTGATCCAAACATATTGAACTTGGATTCGTCACTGAAACATACCATCTTCCAGTCACAGATGCCCCAATCAAGATGCAACCGTGCAAATTGTAATCGGTCCTTTTTCCTCGAGATTAGCGGCTTCTTACTCTGGCGACGTGCAAATAACTTCAAATCATTTAATATTCTACTTATAGTTTTCGTAGGAACACTGACAAGTATGAATTCGTTTTCTAAAGGTATTTAGGTAAATATCTGCGAGAGTGAAAACAGCAAGCTGTGTGTTGGAACTGTGTCCGGGCTTGCATTGTCAGCCGGATCGATATTGTGAGCGCTAGATGTTGGCGATTCTGGTACTATAGTAAATATGGTTTACTCGCCATTGAACCAACCTTCCTGTAAGATCGATCCGATGCACAGCTTGGCTGATGACAGCACTCTACATGCAGGAATTCCCAGCTACTCGGGTATAAAGAAAAGCTGGACTTATCTGTTTGCTGAAAAGCATGAAACAACATTGTTTACGATTAGTCAGGATTACAAATACGGAAGGCAAACAAATTCAGTTAATCATTCAAGCTCTTAAACCGAAAATTTCTCATCGTTACAGTTACATGAATCTGCTGCTTGCAATGCACGATATCCTGATAGCTACGGAAAATAGAAACAGAAGAAAAATCGGAAAACCCCATCCGCAAAAATATCGTGCACAATGGAGACTAATTTCCATTTCCTACAGGTTCCATGCTACATACACACACATATTTCCGTTTTGTATCGGTATTGCGAAATTATTCGAATGTCTGGAGCGGAATAATTTTCCTGTTTATCAAATAACCAGCGTAGGTGGATAGCTGGGGCACATTTACCAGTTTGCTGGAATACGTTTCCACGTTTCGCATGCTGTACGTTAATTTAAGTGCCCATTAAAGTTGACTTTAACATGAATGAAATATAAGAATAGAGGCAGTCCGGAGATCGAAAGGTGATGATTAATAGGCGCTTGTCTCTCTCTTCGGTACTACTCGCAGCATTTTGTCATTTTGAGCAGCCTTGCGGATAAATTAACTCGTACTAACCCAAAGCAAATTCTCTTATATGCGAAAGCTTTTATTAACATTATCAGGCAGAAAAGCTCGATATCGTTACGCCAGAAGTGTGAGACCCTCCAAAAACGCAGCAGGCCCACTAAAACCTCTCAGTCGCTCGCTATTTATTCCAACACTGTAATACTAGCAGCATTTCGTCATAGTGGGTAGCGTTGCTCTTAGTTTTCATACCAACGAAATTTAGAGTCTGTTTAATAAACGTACCTTAAGAGATTAGTGTCGCGTGAGGGTTGAACTACCCTTGGAAGCAATGCAACAACTGGAAGTACACTGGGCCCAACATTGTTTATTATTTATATTAATAATAAATCCACCACCACGGAAAACACGCAAAATCTGAGTTCCATCTATGCAGATGATATAACTATTCTGATACCATGTAAAGCAACGTCTGATATCCAAATCTTGATAGAGACCCAATTAAACCATATTCAAAACTGGCTACAGGTGAATAAGTTAGCATTCAACATACAAAAAACGTGTTGTGTCCTATTTCAGTCAAGCCATGCCACCAAAGAGCTACCCTTAATTAATGAACCTCTATGTATCAAAAGCGATACAAACCTCCTGTGTGTCACATACGATAGCTGACTTAAGTTTGATAAGCACATTGAGAGTATGGCTTCAAAACTCAATTAACCATGCTATGCACTGCGAGTACTCACTTGTCACCTGTCCTCGCAAGCTGTGCAGGCTGTCTACTATGGGCTTGCGAATTCTATTATGTGTTATCAAATAACAATTTGGGGTAATAGTCCCGCAGCCAGCAGAATTTTTATCATACAAAAGAGGATAATAAGAACAATGTTCAAAATGAAACCTAGAGAGTCATGTAGAAGTATATTTAAGGTCAACCGCTTATTAACATTACCGGAAATTTATATTGATAACACTCTACCATTTATCTTTAACCACAAAGAGAAGTTTGAAAAAAACGTCTTCAACCACAGTTACAATACTCGCAAAAATGAGAAATACATCTATCCATCACATACGCTATATTCTACCGAAAAATGCTCACATTACTCTGCACAATGCTTCACCTCAACATAGTCAATCCATTTTAGCATTCACTATATTGGAAAAAAGCATTCATAAGTATAGATGAGAAATTGAACCATATAGTATTGAAGAGTTCTGTGCTCTACTGAAACCGTAAGCATCAATATCTCTGTCTTATATGTTGTCTATTTATGTTTATTTTTGTATGTACTTAAAAAAAATTGTATGTGAGAAACCAATAAATTTCTATTCTATTGTTCTGATGTTCAAGGGAAAATTTAACATTTACATTTCTCAGTAGTAGGCTCAGATGTAATCGCAGGCTGTGATCGATTTTGATACCTGACACGTATTTCGCTAGTTTTTGCAGGTTAAAGTTGAAAAACTAGCCTAAATGCGCTACCCAATATACTCGAATACTTATCACGTGCAGCCGACGTTAACTGCATTACCGATCAGGTTCGTGTCTCTGTTATCAATTGGAACGACACGTCACAAAGCAACTAGAGCATACAACAAGAATGAGGCATCTGTCTCCGATATTTTATTACATATTAGGATACACTCTTCTAAAAAAATGGGTCAAGTAAAGGATTATTTTCAGCGCAAGCTAAACCCAATCTAAATAACGCAGCGCCATGCACCTTAAATCCTGGGTAGAGCTTAGTTGCTATGCTTTCGATCGTTGTTCGAGAGACCATGCTGATCAGTTGCCAAAATAGCATGAAGCAGCTGTGTGTGCTTGATATCTTTGGCTCGACAGACGAAAGCAGCACGTTCTAGTTAGATCCCATAAGAAACAAGTTTCGAACATGTATAACAGACAAATTAAACGGATCAAGTTTGTTAAATAGGTCTGACAATATTGGTCCATAACATCATTACCTTGCCCTACCCTTAGTGCCGTTCATCTGGCGATGTCACGTCGATTGTCCTCAGTATCTCATAGAATGATGGGCCACTAGTGGGGGAGCGCCCATAGAGTG